TGCCTCGTTCTGCCTGTTGTTAAAGGTCAAGCTTAACACCTTAGAGATGCAAGTCCGAGTCCTACTGTGTGTATTTTCAAGAAACAATTTTATGACGTGCACATTGTTTGTCGAAAATTTATTATTAAAAAAACTTTTTATGTAGAATAGAATCCAATAACTTTTCTAACTAAAATTTTGACTAAATAAACTATATTAATCTAAACCTTAGTGTAAAAGCTTGCTAATAAATATTAATTATACTCTTCCGCTATGATCAATATTATGCTACATACACTACTGGTTAAAGTTAGTGTGAGATCCCACATTGGGTAGGGTAAAACGTTATTTAACAAAGACGATTTCGTATTTAAGAGGACTTGAACTCGAGATCTGCTGATTAAAAATGAATGGAAACTTGTCGCTCGTCATAATCCTTGTTGGTATACCACTTCACCACGATCCTTATTGATATAGTTAAAAGAAGGTTTGTTGCAAGTAGCTTTAATTTATAGATGTAGTTGATGAAATACAAGTTTGGCAGAAAAAAATAAAAAAAGCATTTAATAACTGAAAGAAAACTGATAAACACAAGCAACTTTTGTCCCATAAAAGGTACAAAAACCTAAAAAAGCTATATTTATGGATATACATGTGAATCCATTACTGACCATAAAACTACAAAAAAGATCACAAAACCACACACACATTCATGCAACTTGTTTGTTGAAGCATTGCTATGTATTCCTTTGCTGTCACCTTAAATTGTGTGGAAAACCTCCCCTCAAGTATGGTCCCGTCCTTAATTTTAACAATACTAGATAAGAAAAATTATATAAAATTATCAATATTTAGCCTATATAAGGTATTATAGCTATTATTTAAGAAAATTATAATTTGTGATTACAGTATTTTCAAGTCTTGCTATTAGCATTATTTGTATAATTTTTCTGATTTGTACAAATCTAGAATTTGTATAATTTGGTTTCAGATTGTGTAAATTCAGAATTTAGTATATGTTTACTCTAGCTATTTGTATATGATTTATGAAAAATTCAAAATAAATTACCCTGTTTGTATATTGACAAACGAAATATACATACGGAATTCTGAAAAATTCTCAAATAAAAAGTATAGAATTTGTATATATACTTACCCTATTTGTATATTCGCAAGTGAAATATACAAACGAGAAGAAATATACAAACTGTAGCCTTCATAGAAAATAAAACTATAGCTATGGAGCGCAATTATCAAAACTATATATATAGAGTCTTATTATATCTATTAGGTTTGCTATTTCTAAAATTTTCTCAGATATATTAAATCTCGTGTGTAGTACGAGTTTAATAATATTATTCATTTTATCTTAATTTATGTGATGCAGATAAAAAGTAAATAGTCAATTCAATTTTGATATGGTTTATAAATATTTTAAATTATTACTGTAGTAATTATTGTAATTTATTATACTTTTCTACGTAATTTTCAAAGAAAGTGTTACTCTTTATGTCCTAATTTATGTGTCATGATAGAATTTCAAGAGTCAATCAAAATTGTTAAATATTTTATGTTGTTAATTATTATGATTTATAATACTTTTTATCTAAAATTTTAAATATGTAATCAAATTTTAAATTATTAATTATTGTGATTTATAATATTTTTGATATAATCATAAAATATATAACAAATTAAAATAAAAGTAAATAATAAATTTAAAATGGAAAAAGCACTAAAGTGGAGTCCACATATTTCCCGAGAAGCACCTTCACTAAAAGTATATAGGATTAATTACTTGAGTGGATCCTTTTTAAAAAATAATTACTTATTTTAGATATACTCTTTAGTTATTACCATTTATAGCAATATAAAACAATAGAGTACTATATATTTTATTACATTTTTCTTTCTCTCGCTTCTTTCTCTTTTTTCTCTCTTTGTCGCTCCTTTCTTTTTGTTGCTCTTTTTCTCTTACTTTCTTTTTGTTTTTTTTGTTTTTTTGCTTTCTTTTTGCTGCTCTTTCTCTCTCTTTCTGTTGCTTTTTTTTCCTTTTGTTTCTCTCTTTACTTTCTTTCATAGAGTAGTCAATGATTCGTAGAATGAATAAAATTTGTATCAATAATTAATTAATTAAACAAATAATTTAATCGTTACAAATGAAGAGACATAATAAATTACAAAATGAATTAAAGTTGAATTAAAAATGTATTACACACAATGATCTATAGAGTAAATTAAACTTGTATTAATAATGAATTAAAGAAGTAATTCAATCATAACAAATCAACCAATAAACTGCAAAATGAATTAATTTGTATTAAAAGTGCATACACAAATAATAAAGTTGAATTAGGCATGGATAAAAAATGTAACTAATGAAACACCAGACAATGATCTATAGAGTGAATTAAACTTATATCAATAATGAATTAAACAAATAATCTAACAGTAACAAATAATAAACTACAAAATGAATTAAATTTGCATTAAAAATGAATTATACAATATTAAAGTTGAATTAGAAGAGAAAATTAACAATAAATGAAAAATGTAACTAACGAAAGAAAAGACAATAATCTATAGACTGAATTAAACTTGTATTATTCATACATAAAACATGTATTATATGTGTCTAATAAATTACTTTTGGTTTGTATCACTAAGAATGTGAGTGATGTTTGCAATATGAATTAAAAATGTATTGTGCATCTATTATAAATGTACCTAAATTATTTTAGCTGATATCATTAAAAAGGGAATGAAGTTTGCAATATGTAGTATAAATGTAGGATATATTGTTCATGATTTTAATACAATTATGAAACATATCTAATACAACTTTAATACAAATGTGATATAGTTCCGTAAACTTTATCCTTTTCGAGCTTCAATCCAATATTTTCCTAAAATCAATTCTAAACTTAACCAAACCCTCTTAAAATTGAGATATAAACTCCAAACGATATTTTCAACTATTTGTAGGAACAACCTATCCAAACTAATCGACAAACGAAAAAGCAGTCAATGATTCGTAGACTGAATAAAACTTGCATCAATAATTAATTAGACAAGTAATCTAATTGTAACAAATGAAGAAACATAATAAACTGCCAAATGAATTAAACTTGAATAAAAATTGTATTACACACATATTAAAGTTGAATTAGAAGCGAATTAAACATGACTACAAAATGTAGCAAATGAAAGAGCATTATGTGATTTGTAAATTGAATAAAACTTGTATTAATAATGAATTAAAGAAGTAATTCAATCATAACAAATCAACCAATAAACTGCAAAATGAATTAATTTGTATTAAAAGTGCATACACAAATAATAAAGTTGAATTAGGCATGGATAAAAAATGTAACTAATGAAACACCAGACAATGATCTATAGAGTGAATTAAACTTATATCAACAATGAATTAAACAAATAATCTAACAGTAACAAATAATAAACTACAAAAAAATGCATTAAAAGTGTATTACACAATATTAAAGTTGAATTAGAAGAGAAAATTAACAATAAATGAAAAATGTAACTAACGAAAGAAAAGACAATAATCTATAGACTGAATTAAACTTGTATTATTCATGAATAAAACATGTATTATATGTGTCTTATAAATTATTTTAATTTGTATCACTAAGAACATGAGTGATGTTTGCAATATGTATTACAAATGTATATGTTATAAATGTATTACAAGTGTGTTACTTAAATTATTTTGGTTGATATCACTAAAAAATGAGTGAATTTTCTAATATGTATTATAAATGTATTGTTCGTGATGTTAATATAATTTTAATACAGTTATGAAACATATCTAATACAATCGCGATACCGTTCCATAAACTTCACCTTTTTCAAGTTTCAATCTAATATTTCTCCTAAAATCAATTATAAACTTAACCAAACCCTCTTAAAATTGAGATATAAACTCCAAACGATATTTTCAACTATTTGTAGGAACAACCTATCCAAACTAATCGCAAACGAAAGAGCAGAAAGTAATCTAATCGTAACAAATGAAGAAACATAATAAACTGCCAAATGAATTAAACTTGAATAAAAAATGTATTACACACATATTAAAGTTGAATTAGAAGCGAATTAAACATGACTGCAAAATGTAGCAAATGAAATCGTGTTTTTGGATAAAAATAGTGAAATATGGGCAAAAACTGATTTAAAAACAGTTATTTAAGTGAAAATTTCAAAAAAAAGAAGAATAAAAAAAAAGAGGAGGAAGAGAAAGAATGACACAGAAAGAGACGACAAAGAAGAAGAAAAAAGAGGAGGAAGAGAAAAAGGGCAGAGAAAGAGGCGAAGGAAGATAAACAGTACAATTTTTTAATTTTAAAAAATTGTTATATTTAGTTAGAAAAATTGTATTGCCATAGATGGTAAATATTTTTTTTAATATTACATATTTATGTGATTTACCCAAGTATATAATACTCACTCTTTCCCAATTTATTTGGTTTACTTTATCTTTTAGTCGGTCTCAAAAAATAATAGATTTTTATATTTAATAATAATTTAATATTAAAATATTAATTTACTCTTAATGAAATGATTTCTAGTCACACAATTATTTTAAAGTCATTTTAAACCATATATTTCAAAAGTTTTCTTCTCTTTTTTCAAAACTCCGTATCAAGTCAAACTAGCTCATATAAATTGAAACAGAGGGAATAATATTATTCTCTGAAGTGGACCCCACATTGCATGAGAGACAAAGCAAAAAAGAAGGGCTATTGATTCACATTTGCAGCTATGAATTGCAGAAAATTTGTAATGTCAATCAAGCCCTTTATGCTAAAACAGACATGACCATGATACAGACTGGTTAAGCTGCTCAACTGTGTCTTATTAATTAAGAGAAAAAGAAAATATAGTTGAGATTTTTCCTTCATATAAACAAAACTTGCATTGAGAAAACACATTAATTCTTACACTAAGCTTCTGCTTCTTGACCTTCTATTTACTCAAATACCCTTTATAAACAGGGAATGGGAATGATGGTTTTTGTGATGATCCTAATTTTGAGTAATCAAATAGAGATTTCACATGGGCAGCTCAAAGTTGGTTTCTATGACAAAAAATGCCCAAATGTTGAATCCATTGTGAGTGGTGTTGTCAATAAAGTTGCTACCTCCAACAAAAATATAGCTCCTGTCTTGCTTAGACGTCATTTCCATGACTGCTTTGTTCAGGTCCAATTAATTAATTAATGAATTATATTTATTTCATCATTTTTAGTGATCATTAATTATTAAGTGATCAATTATTGATGAACAGGGGTGTGATGCATCAATTCTTATAGAAAACGGACCTAATGCTGAAAGGCATGCATTTGGTCATCAAGGTGTTGGAGGATTTGAAGTGATTGAGAAAGCAAAAGCAGAGGTTGAGGCTGTTTGTCCTCAACTTGTTTCTTGTGCAGATATTGTTGCTATTGCTGCTAGGGATGCTATACTCTTGGTACCACTTTTTTTATAAATCTTAGTATGTTTCAATTTATTTCTTTGGTTTTGACACAAAAATTAAGAAAGTAAGGTATTGTGTCACATCTTTAGTCTGCTACTACTAAGCACATGTGCGGTACTTGACAACTTACTCATGTTCTTGCTCCACTTGTTCACAATTTTGCTATGCCATGTCAGCCAAAAACTCTAGAAATCGCTAAAAAAAATGAAAAAGAGACTACAAAAGATTGCTAAGAAGAATTGTGTTGCAGAGAACTAACTTTATTGATTTTTGGTTGATGTTCTTCTGTTTATACTATTAACTTTAGGGGTTAATATGTAAATGATAATAATAAACAAGTCTCTACATATTTACAAAATAATCCTTTATGTGCTTAGAGTTTTCTAAGGACCTTCCATATAAATTTTATGATATTCTAGGTTCTACTATGAGAAATTCTCACATTTCTCTAGAACCTTCCAGACTAGCAGCTTTGTTCCTTTGTAAGCCTCCGTATGCACAATTTTATATCATGTGACACTTATGTGATGCTTATATAGCGTGATGACATAGTGGATCGTCACAATTGTCTATAAGAATTGTTTAATTGGATAGGTAAATGGGCCTTTCTATAATGTGGAAATAGGAAGGAGAGATGGGTTGGTTTCAAATGTATCTTTAGCTGATAATATGCCAGACGTTGATGATTCCATTCAACAACTCAAAGATAAGTTCTTCCAGAAAGGCCTCTCTCACAAAGACCTTGTGCTCCTCACTGGTACCTATCTATACAACACTAGGCCTACATTATATTACTTCTTTTCGATTTACTTTCCTCTTTAGTCAGCTTATAAAAAGAATGACATTTTTATATATATTAAGAAATAATTTAATTTTAAAATATTTATTTTAACAAAATGATTTATAGTCTCATACACACACACACACATATATATATATTACTTATTTTAAATTATAAATTTAAAAAGTCTTTTTTCTTTCTTAAACCCTATCCAAAATTGGACGGATGGAGTACTTATTACGTACATTAATTATATCTTCAAGTCAGTTTAAGTTACAGTGCGAAAAGTGCAGTATATGTGTACCATATAACTAAAATTCATGTGATTATTTAATTGATGGACCACCAAAAACATTACATAAAAATTAATTGATGAAAACATGCATATTGCCATAATCGATCTAGCTATAACATGACTAGTGCTTATAATGATGAATGAATAAATTGCAGCTGCACATACAATTGGTACCACTGCATGCTTTTTCATGACCAAAAGGCTCTACAACTTCTCTCCCAACAGAGGTTCTGATCCATCCATAAATCCTAAATTTCTTCCAGAGTTGAAGTCCACTTGCCCCCAAAACGGAGATGTTAATGTCAGGTTACCGATGGACAGAGGCAGTGGTGAGACATTCGACAGTCAAATTCTGCAGAATATTAGAAGTGGCTTTGCTGTACTACAATCTGATGCAAATTTATATAACGATGAGACAACGAGGAGAGTTGTAGATTCTTACTTTGGATTTCTTAGCCCATTTTTCGGGACACCATTCGAGGCTGATTTTGCCAATGCAATGGTGAAAATGGGCAGAATTGGAGTACTTACTGGTTCTCAAGGGACTATTAGACGTGTTTGTTCTGCTTTTTAATTAAGTTCATACAGTTGTAATTAATTACAAAAATAGATGGTACTATATAACATATAGTTGTAATTTATTACTAAGCACTATTGAAAGAACATAAATTAGCACGGGATAAGTTCTCTAGCTAAATAGGAAAATTCATTACTAATTCTATTTATCATCCACGTTGGAAGTTATGAAATCCTAATACAGAATCTACGGCAAATTTAAAGCCAATCGACACATCCTAATACAGAATCTACGGCAAATTTAAAGCCAATCGACACATCCTAATACAGAATCTACGGCAAATTTAAAGCCAATCGACACATCCTAATACAGAATCTACGGCAAATTTAAAGCCAATCAACATATCGTAAATCAATGTACGGTCCGTGGCTAGGGTCAGTAAGCAATTTGATTTCATTAAGATTCCAATTTTTTGGGTCATTATAAATACTTTTCATACTGTTAATGGAATATGGAGTTACCCGAATTTCTTAGTTTTTAGTTTTGCAATATTTTACTCTTTAGTTTTCAAAAGTATTATGAAGAACGGATTATTTCTTTTTTTGGTAAATAACAGATTTTATTATTATCAAAGAGCCATGTAAGTACAAAAGGTTGAGCAAGAACTGGACAGCCCCAGCCTTACTATGCCATTAACAACTCAAAAGAAGTTCCCTATGGATAGTAATCAAGATTACTCAAAGTACTAGTCAATTTAGTCTGCCTGTTTCCTCTAATATGGACTTCCTGAATAATATTTCTGATATTTATATCGGCTAATCTTGCATTCTTCTGAAATATTCGAAGATTTCTTTCTTGCCACACAACATACACACTTGCAGACAAAGCCATTCTAAAGATCTTTGCTTTAGCTTGTCTTCCCATAAAATTTGGTAGAGCCCATATTACCTTCTCTTTCCAGCAAAGTGCCTGCCTATCTATACACATCCATTGCAGAATCTTCTCCCAAATAGAGGCAACATATATACAATGAAAGAATAAATGCTCACAACTATCAACTCCTGAGCTACATAGTATGCATCTAGTATCCTCTATCACTCCCCAAGATGCTAGCCTTTCTCTCGTTTGCAAATGCTCCTTGAGTGCTAAATATAGAATAAAGATTCATTTAGGTGGTGCATCATTGTTACACACCAGTCTCCTCTACTCCATCTTTTGGAAGTTACCTCTCAACTTCAAATACATCTTCTTGATGGAGAAACCCGACCAAGTCACGACTTCCTGTTCAGACCACCCTGCCTCCTCAAAGTATTTTTGGGCTTTCAAGATTTTCATTATCATCCATGATACCTATTTTGAATCCCCCATATTGACCCTTGCTTTCCATAATACATGTGTACCCATTGGATCCACATTTTGTCTTTCTTCTTGCTTAGGCTCCATAATAGCTTACATATAGCTGCTTTATTCCATGTAGCAATGTCCAAAAAATTCAGCCCACCAGTAACTCTAGGCCAGCATAATGTTTCCCAAGCAATCAAAGCTTTCTTGGAGGAGTCAACCGCCCGGACCAAAGAAATTTTCTGCACACTGCTTCTATACAGTGGGTCACCTTCTTTGGCATAACAAAAATCTGAGCCCAGAAAATCTGTATTGAGAACAACACACTTCTGATCACTTGAATTCTCCCCGTATATGATAGGAATCTAGAGGTCCAACTCTTTACTCTCCCCATAATTTTTTCAATTAGTGTTTGAAATTGGACAATTGAAGTATTTTTGGAGCTAAGTGGTACCCCAAGGTACCTTATAGGTAAAGTGTCCTGTACAAATCCTAATAGATGTAGGATTTCTTGTTGTACCTCCCCCGACACTCCTCCAAAATAAACAACACTCTTCTCCTCATTTTCTTCTAGCCCTGATGTTTTTGAAAATATAGTAAACAGGTCATATAGTAGTTTCACTGATTTGGGGTCTCCTTTGCTAAACAATAATAGGTCATCTGCAAAACTCAGTTTTACCACATTCATCTTTGCACACTTTGGGTGGTACTTGAACTCAGGATTCTGCTTCAATTATTTCAAGAGTCTTGTGAGGTACTCCATTGATAATACAAACAGAAATGGTGATAAAGGATCTCCTTGTCTCAGTCCTTTATTTGCATTAAAAGGAATACTTGGTTGTCCATTTATCAATGTAGAGTAAGAAACAATTTGTACACACTGCATGATCCATTGTCTAAAAAGTAAAGGGAATTGTAAACGTTCTAGCACCTGTTCAAGATATACCCATTCAACAGAATCATAAGCTTTCCTCATATCAACCTTCATCATACACCTTGGGGAGATCCTTTTCCTGCCATATCCTTTGACGAGTTCATGGCTAAGAATAATGTTATCATTTATCAACCTGCCGGGAACAAAAGCAAATTGATTTCTATCGACTATATTATCCATCACTTGTTGTAATCTTCTTGTTAAGATCTTTGATATTATCTTGTATAGTAGGGTGCAACATGATATAGGTCTATATTGTGTGATCCTTTCTGAGTTTGGGATTTTTGGGATCAATGTAATTGTAGTGTAGTTGATGGCCTTATACATGGTTCCAAACTCCTGAACTGCATCTATAATGTCTTCTCCTACTATAGGCCATGCCTTTTTGAAAAATACTGCATTGAATCCATCACATCCTGGTGCTTTCATATCATTTATCCCCTTCAGAACCTCTGCTACCTCAGTTCTGGTCACTGATTTTATTAATAGCATTTGTTGTTCCCTATTCAAAACAGGTCCGTCCTTCATTACTAAAGGATTGCCCATTGGTAATTGTTCAACACATGATCCCAAGAGAGTTTTATAGTAGCTAAGAACTTCCTTTTCAATTTGTGTGGGATGAGTTACCACCACTCCATCTGCATTTGTTAGCATACTTACTCTATTATGTGCTGACCTTTGTTTCAAGTTGGCAAAGAAGTATGCTGTATTTGAATCCACTAACTTCAACCACTACATTCTTGAGTTTTTCATGATTATACTTTCCTCCACATTTAACCACTTCTGAAGTGTATGTTTTGCTTGATTTTCAGCTTCAACTTTCTCCCCGGGTTGCCCCGGGGTTCCCATGTCCTGTTGTAATAGTTCCAGTTGGTGTATGCACTTGTGTATTTTGTCCTCAATTCCACCAAATTCCTTTGCATTGAGTTTCTTCATTGCCTGCTTAACATTCTTTTCTACAGATACTTGCCATTTAACATCTTCCCAAGTTCCTAGACCACACTTCATCCACAACTTCAAGAAATTTTTCATGACCAACTACATGGTTTAGAAACTTGAAAGGTCTTGCTCTTCTATCTTCCGCTTGGGCTATTAGCAGGCATAGTGGAGAATGGTCAGAGCATCCAGGCTCCATGATTTGAATTTCATGTTGAGCCATTGTCATCATCCAGGTAGTATTCACCCATCATCAATCTATAATACTGTATGTGTGCCCATTTGTCCAGGTGTATTCTCTTCCTCTAGTCCTTAGCACATCTATTCATGTATCTTCTAGGAACTCTTTGTAATCTCTTAGTTCAAGTTCGGTTGGAATATTACCAATAGGCCTAGCTGTCACTGACTTTATTGCATTATAGTCTCCCATAGCAATCCATGATTCTTGTTGTTGTCCATGAATGGTTCGCAATTCAGTCCACAATCTTCCTCTTTCCACTTATGTATGAAGTCCATACATATCAGTAAAAGCAAACCTAAGGTTCAAAGAACCAATATGAATTTTGGTATGAATAAGTTATTCAGTCATATAATCGAGTGTTACATCAGTGTAGTCAGGGTTCCACATCACCAAGATCCTTCCTCTATCACTATGATCGTAGTTCACCAACCATATCCATCTAGGTGCAATATTCCTCACAAGTTTCTTCACATACTGCTCTTTTATTTTATGTTCTACTAAAGCTAGAATACTTATATTATTTGTACTGAGCAACTTTCTAACCTCCTTTTGCTTGTACACTTTATTCATGCCTCTAATTTTCCAAGTAACTAGCTTCATATGGGTAGTAATATGGGGTTGATAGTGCCTACTTCCTCAACACCCTGCCCAGTGATCTGCTCATTGAAGATATTAAATTCATTCAGACTGCTTACTTCAATGACTTGGAGGGATCTCTGTAAACTTGTAGCTGTCGACTTCCCTCTAACCTCCTTTCATTTATCTTCTCCTGTCCAATAGGCTGAGTATAATGATTTTGGATTGGTGAAATACTTAGTTCGGCTGGAGTTACTTGAGACACCTGGCCTTTTTCTTTGTAGGTTCTATCATTGTTTGCTTACCTTGTTCAACTTGTTTCCTTTGCCATTCTGTATGAGGTGGCTGCTGTGATTCCTACATTACAGGGCCTGCATTTGGGTTGTTTGCTGGACATTTATGTCCAACTTGAAGGCATTTGGGACAGTAAGCAGGGATCCATTCATATATTACTTTTTGCTCATATTTTTTTCCATTCGGGTCTTCCTCCTTTACCATGAATGAGAGGTCTTTTGTTATGTCAAGCTCAATCAACACTCTTTCAAAGGATATTCTAGCTACCTTCGTTGTGCATTCGTCAGCATATAAAGGAAAACCTAACCCTCTACTGATTTTACTCAAAGATTGCATCCCCCAGCAGTTCAAGGGAAGATTCGGGGATTTCCCCCAAAATGGAATAGTTTGCAGGACTTCTTTGCTTAAATCAAAATTCGGAGTCCATGTTTTCACAATGGCTTGTTATTCAATAAGTGTGGCCCTGAGTACATCACTGCATTCCTATCTTCAAGACTTGGAAATCGTAGTAGAAAGTATACATCATTATGATAGTATACAGTAGGCTTCGCAATGTAGTTCCATTGGTTAGCAATATACCTTTCAAGGCTTGCAATTGTTGGTGAGGCACCTACTACATACAAGATAATAGTATGCTTCCATTTATTCGTCTCCAAATCCACCTCTTCTTTATATAGTTTCACCACTTTCTCACCATTCTGCATCACAGGAGCAACAAAATTTAGTTTCATTCCT